CAAGGAACACCTAACAGCCTCACATATTCACAGGCTGAACTGGATCGACTCATGTGTTTATTTCACCTTACAATTATATAACTATGTAACCTGTGAAACAACCCTACGATTCCACAAAAACTCTGATTGAGAATGGCTGATATAAAGTATATATGGCATGTAATTCTGGTATAGTATTCTATTATGAGATGATCTGTACATCTATAAAAAGGTAATAACAAAATAACTTACATCTGGTGAGGTTGTAGGTGACCACATATTTGGTGAGTGAAATCAGAGGCATTTTGCTTGTAAAGAATACTTCTGTCACCATACAAGTCTTGTATGGGATGTCACATTAAATGCTCTGAGGTGGCCCAAATCTAGTTCTTGTGAATTTCTAAAATGGTTAAGTAGTAAAACGTGTAAGAATACCAAAAAGCCCTGTGAGTTGGCAAAGGAGCCCAGAATCAATAGTAATAATTCATCCAAGGTGAACATTGACTTCCTAAAAAGGTGAAATTATTTGAAAACCAAATAATGTGTTTTGAGACTAGCCATCACTTAAAGAATGAGGTCATACATAAACTTGCCAGCGAATGTGCAGAACTTCAACCTGCAAAATTATCCCATTCCTGCACACCATTGAGAGCTCAGTTGCTGGCAAGTTTGTGGCTTACCACATTTCCAAAGAATGGACAACCAATCACAAAATTGTGTTATTTTGGTACCCACTAAATTTAACGTTTGTAGGAAGTTGATGACCACCTTGGATGGATTATTACCATTGATCCAAGCACCTCTGCCACGTGTTAGGGTTTTTGATATTCTTACACATTCTTGCATCATTAAATGTAAATCAACTAAATATATGTCTACTAGGAAACTCCTTTTAAAAATGTACACATGTCTTTTTGAGTTGTGTTCAATGAGCAGGTATGTTTTCCCCATATACTCAGCGCTGTATAGGATACACACAATTGGTCCAGAATATGTAGGTAAAATTTGTAATTTATTAGTCCCAGTGACTCAAAGGCTTTCCAAAAGATTCTCCTCTATTTGATAAATTTTAACTTAGCAGGGAATCTTGTTTGTAAATTCTGGGTCTATTTTTAGCGCAAATAAGCAAACTATGGCATAGCCATAAGACATGAACAAAAAAATACCTTACAGTGAGCGAAGGGTCTTTTTCATTAAATGGGACATAGAAAGTACACAAACCCTAAAAATGTTTTAAAGCTTTACGTGGTGTTACTGAAGAGAACAGTTTTCTTATTTTGTTTTAATATTACCTTGGCTTACATACAGCGGCTGTGCCCCAATCTGAGTTATTTCAGTTTTAAAATAGCCCTTTTCAAAAATATAAGGAAATCTCAAGATGACCCCTGAAGATCTTCATTTTTTGTTACTAATGTTACAGACCAATGCCGGAAATATTATCAAAGATAAAGGCCACTATGATTCATGGGGGACATGTCCTTGTATTACTCCCTTTTAAGACAAGATCCTACAAATTTTATAAGATCATGGACACTGCTATTCAGAACAATCCTCTCATCACTTTATTCATCCTCCTAGGTTCGTACAAGTCTATCAAAAAGACATAGTGTGTTATATCCCTTTTGCAGGCCAGACAATTCCTCGCTAGACACTGGCGATTGGTAGCTGCCCTAATGGTGGTCGAGTGGTTGTGTGAGATGAATAAGATTAAATCCATAGAAAAATTGAGCTTTTGGGAAGAGAGAATACTACAGAGGTATAAATGATACAGACCAAAATACGATTGGAAAGTATTTTATTTGAATTAATATTCAATATATCATCAAAGGGTGTGGAATTAATGTTTGAAATCTGCTTTCTAAGGCTGGTGTATATACACTTGTATTATACAAGTCAGAGTGTCACTCTGACTCCATGTACATTGACATGTCTTTTCTTCTGTTTTTTCTGCTAGCACTATTTGCTTTTTCATCAAGCAATACTAGGTACACTTTTTCCAGTGGTTAACTGGAGCTGTCCTTGTTTTGGCTGTTGCACAATTGTTCTGTCTCTGGACAATTCTTTTTATAAAATTTTAATTATAGTGACCCCCTTTCACCACAGGATCACTTTTATAATACAGGTGACCTGTAAAAGAAGCAGCCACCATTATTCAACTGTCAGGTAAGTCAAATACTCTTTGGCCACACTGTGGGAATGCCATAAATGGCTGTACAGTTATGGCATCACAACTTGTAAGGGAATTCCTGTGAGACGGCTGGCGAACAGACGTGCACATGCGCACAGAAATATTGCGATCGCGCACATGCACGGCAAAGATGGGCGCCAGACGGACTATTTAAAATGGTGCCTCTGCCTGTGCTGACTGGTCTTCAGTTGTTCCCCATTTCCTGCTCGTTCTTGTGCGATTCCCTTGTTGCTGATCCGGCTTGTCCCTGACCTGACTCTTGATTACTCTCCAGCTTGATACTTGTTCCTGACCTCGGCTCTGCTCCTGACTTTGGCTTGCTTATGATTTGGTACCTTTCTGTCCGCCCGTTGATGACCCCGGCTATTCCTATGACATTGCTTCTGTCTCCCATCCCAGCTTCCTGCCTTGCTCTGGTGCACGCCTGGCAATCTACCATACCAGCTCTGCATATCGCTAATGTTCCTGAATCGGTGGTCTGTTAGTCTTTTAAGGATTCCAGCTGCAAGTGCTGCAAACAACATCTGCTGGCACTCTTGTCCCCCTGGTCCCTAGACACCCTCTGTTCCACTTCCAGTGGGGTCAGGGCTAGTGACACAAGTGAGGCCGACCTAATCATTTCAGTCTCCAGTACGTGACACAACTAAGCAAAAGTTTCAGAAAATGCTTGGTGTTTTTTTCACCTACTAGGGCCCCTTCGCTGCATAGTGAATTTTATTCAAAAAGGTGAATTTAGCCTTTAATATGCAAGACTATGCCAAAATGTACTAGAGGCACAGGACTCAGATAAGTGTTTTACTTACGGAATTAAGAGACTTCAGATGATACAGCAGTTTAAAGTTGGACAGCAGTTTCAAGGAGTAAGACTTAGGTTACTTTCATACTGTTCCCTTGCAAAAACGTGGTAAAAATGTATATTCGCTTTTCCCGCATTTTCACTGTTGTGTTAGGAATGGACTGGCCAGCAATGGTGGGACTCACCTGCCTTTTGATCTGCAGTACCAGGGCTGGCCAGCGGGTGCTCCCAGCAATCAGAGACTCAACCTTTCAGCCAGCTAACACCTGGAACTGATGATGCTGGGGTATTTAAGGGATGGCCAGACCCACAGACTCTGCCTTGGTGTTGTGTTTGTCCTGGGCCCTGTATCTGTCCTGCATCCTGTTTCTGTCCCTCTGCCTGACCCTCTGTACTACGCTGCTTGTTACCTGTTTTGATCTCTGGCTTGTGACCCTGACCCATCCCTCTGCCTGACCCTCTGTACTACGCTGCTTGCTACCTGCTGAACCTGGCCTGTGACCCCGACCATTCTCTGCTTGCTCCCCCTGTACCTACCTGCCCAATTGATATTGACCCGGCCTGCCTGACGACGCTTGCTTGTATGTACTGTTATCTGTGGGTGGTTTGGTTTGGTTTGTTTGCACTGTATTATGTTTAGTATTGCACTGCGTTTATGTTTGTATGGTTAGTGTTAATAAATTGTATTGTTTATCACATATCTGAAGTCTGCGTTTCCCTGCATCAGTCACACACCTCTGGTCATACCTGGGAGCCCTGACATTACACCAAGGCAAATCCTGACCAGAAGTGGCTGCACAGGGAAGCCATCTTGGCTTGTTGATGGGAAGGGATGGATCTGGATGAGGTTGAATATTTATATATTGCTAGTGTTTGATGACAGGGAGTATGCTTATCAAACTCTGAAGGAGTATACCCGGGATGAACTGCTAGAATGTATACGGCTTGCTCATGTTCTAGTAGATCAGGGCACAGAGTTCTCTGAGGTGCAGCCTTTGATTGAGGTTTGTGCAGAGTTGGTTTCATCTGGTTCCCCCGAATGCAGGGATGAATTTTTGCCACCATTTAGTGCAGACCAGGTAGAGTCCCTGGTGTGGTTATTAGAGGATGATGTGGGTTACTTTCTGGAGCGTTATTCCACATGTTCACCACAGATACTAAGAGATTGTATAAACGCAGTACAGTCATTGGACCAGACAGGCTTTGTGTAAGCTCAGCTTTGTTCAACCCATACTGCAGACATGGACAGATTTGTTGCACCCAGCCTCAGTCAGCTTACAAAGACCCCAGTCCTGCTTCTAATCTATTTCCTCAAAACTCTATTCCTGCATTCCCAACAGCTCCTCCTGCCCTGCTATCTAACCGCATGTCAGTACCCTGTTCCCACTCGCTGCACCTATCCTGCCTTTAACCCTGTAAAAAGAGCCCTCTGTAGCAACTGCTCCCTCTCCTGTTCCATCCTCCAGTTCTTCTCTGTCTCCAGCTGCTCCATTCGTTTGCAGACCTGCGTTTACTTGCAGTGCTCCAGTAGTTAAAACCAGAAAAAAGCGAAAATTCTTTCCAACCAATACCATCCTGCCAGTATCCAAACCGGTGAGCCTGCCTTCCGTGGTTCAGCCTGAAGCCTCTACTCAGCCTGAAGCCTCTACTCAGCCTGAAGCCTCTACTCAGCCTGAAGCCTGCCTACTCAGCCTGAAGCCTCTACTCAGCCTGATGCCTCTCTTCAGCCTGATGCCGGTACGCAGCCTGATGCCTCTCTTCAGCCTGATTGCCTGTATGCAGCCTGATGCCTCTCTTCAGCCTGATGCCTCTACTCGGCCTGAAGCCTCTCTTACTCGGCCTGAAGCCTCTACTCGGCCTGATGCCTCTACTCGGCCTGAAGCCTCTACTCGGCCTGATGCCTCTACTCGGCCTGATGCCTCTACTCGGCCTGAAGCCTCTACTCGGCCTGAAGCCTCTACTCGGCCTGAAGCCTCTACTCGGCCTGAAGCCTCTACACGGCCTGAAGCCTCTACTCAGCCGGACGCCGGCATTCAGCCTGATGCCTCTACCCAAGCATGATGAACTGATCCAGCCTGACGATCCTATTAGGCCAGTTGACTCGATGCCGCTGTTGATCCAGATGATCCGGTACCTGATCCGGTGCCCGCTGTCGAGCCAAATGACCTGATGCCTGGTGACCCAGTGCCCGCTGTCATACCTGGTGACCCGATGCCCGCTGTCGTGCCAGACAATCCGGTACCCTGATGACCCGGTGCTCACTGTTCGTGCCTGTTGACTCGGAGCCCACTGCCCTTGCCAGATGACGCGTGCCCGCTGTCGAGCCAAATGACCTGATGCCTGGTGACCCAGTGCCCGCTGTCCAGCCAGACGATCCAATGTCTGACCCTAGTGCCCGCGGTCATACCAGTTGACTCGGAGCCCACTGCCTTGCCAGATGACGCGATGCCCGCTGTCGAGCCAAATGACCTGATGCCTGGTGGACCCCGATGCCCGCTGTCCAGCCAGACGATCCAATGTCTGACCCAGTGCCATGCGGTCATCCCAGTTGACTCGGAGCCCACGGTTGTGCCTGGTGACTCGGTGCCCGCCGCCCCGCCTGGGGGCCTGAGACCTGTCGTTCCGCCTGGGGGTCCGGCGCCCGCCACACTCCGCCTGAGGGTCCGAGACCTGTCGCTCCGCCTGGGGGTCCGGCGCCCGCCGCTCCGCTTGAGGGTCCGAGAGGACCTGTCGCTCCGCCCCTGGGGGTCCGGCGCCCGCCGCTCCGCCTGAGGGCCCGAGACCTGTCGCTCCGCCTGGGGGTCCGGCACCCGCCGCTCCGCCTGAGGGCCCGAAACCTGTCGCTCCACCTGGGGGTCCGGCGCCCGCCGCTCCGCTGAGGGTCCGAGACCTGTCGCTCCACCTGGGGGTCCGGCGCCCGCCGCTCCGCCTGAGGGCCCGAGACCTGTCGCTCCTCCTGGGGGTCCCGGCGCCCGCGCCGCTTCGCCTGAGGGCCCGAGACCTGTCGCTCCGCCTGGGGGTCCGGCGCCCGCGCTCCGCCTGAGGGCCCGAGACCTGTCGCTCCATCTGGGGGGTCCGGCGCCCGCCGCTCCGCCTGAGGGCCCGAGACCTGACGCTCCGCCTGGGGGTCCCGGCGCCCCCGCCGCTCCGCCCTGGGGGGCACGATGCCTGTCGCCCCGCCTGGGGGCACGATGCCTGTCGCCCCGCCTGGGGGCACGATGCCTGTCGCCCCGCCTGGGGCCCGATGCCTGTCGCCCCTCCTGGGGGGCCCGGCGCCCGCCGCCCCGCCTGGGGGCCCGACGCCGGTCGCGCTCCGCCCGGGGGCCCGGCGCCGGGACGCTCCGCCCGGGGGCCCGGCGCCTGCTGCTCTTCTGCCCCCGGGGGCCCGGCGCCTGCTGCTCCGCCCGGGGGCCCGGCGCCTGTCGCCCCGCCCGGGGGCCCGGTGCCTGTCGCGCCCCGCCCGGGGGGCCCGGTGCCTGTCGCCCCCCCCCGCCCGGGGGCCCGATGCCTGCTGCTCTCCGCCCGGGGGCCCGGTGCCCTCTGCTGCCCGCCCGGGGGCCCGGTGCCTGCTGCCCCGCCCGGGGGCACCGGTCGCCCCGCCCGGGGGCCCGGTGCCTGCTGCTCCGCCCGGGGGCCCGATGCATGTTCGCCCCGCCCGGGGGCCCGATGCCTGCTGCTCCGCCCGGGGGGCCCGATGCCTGCTGCTTCCCCCCCCTACGCCCGGGGGCCCGGTGCCTGCTGCTCCGCCCGGGGGCCCGGTGCCTGCTGCCCCGCCCGGGGGGCCCGGTCGCCCCGCCCGGGGGCCCGGTGCCTGCTGCTCCGCCCGGGGGCCCGATGCATGTCGCCCCGCCCGGGGGCCCGGTGCCTGCTGCTCCCGCCCGGGGGCCCCGGTGCCTGCTGCTCCGCCCGGGGGCCCGGTGCCTGCTGCTCCGCCTGGTGGCGCCGCTGCCTGCTGCTTCGCCTGGTAATCCGATGTGCCTCTGCCCGGAGTCCTGCCCGATGTGCCTCTGCCCGGAGTCCTGCCCGATGTGCCTCTGCCCGGAGTCCTGCCCGATGTGCCTCTGCCCGGAGTCCTGCCCGATGTGCCTCTGCCCGATGTGCCTCTGCCCGATGTGCCTCTGCCCGGAGTCCTGCCTAATGTGCCTCTGCCCGGTGTGCCCTCTGCTCGATGTGCCTCTGCCCGGAGTCCAGCCCGGTGTGCCTCTGCCCGGAGTCCAGCCCGGTGTGCCTCTGCCCGGAGTCCAGCCCGGTGTGCCTCTGCCCGGAGTCCAGCCCGGTGTGCCGCTGCCCGGAGTCCTGCCCGGTGTGCCAGTCTTTGATATCCCGCCAGTTACCAGACCCGGGCGGTGGAACATTTTGCCCAGCTAGGACTGTTTGGAGCGTCCTGAGGCCGCTCCTTGGGGGGGGGGTACTGTTAGGAATGGACTGGCCAGCAATGGTGGGACTCACCTGCCTTTTGATCTGCAGTACCAGGCTGGCCAGCGGGTGCTCCCAGCAATCAGAGACTCAACCTTTCAGCCAGCTAACACCTGGAACTGATGATGCTGGGTTTTAAGGGATGGCCAGACCCACAGACTCTGCCTTGGTGTTGTGTTTGTCCTGGGCCCTGTATCTGTCCTGCATCCTGTTTCTGTCCCTCTGCCTGACCCTCTGTACTACGCTGCTTGTTACCTGTTTTGATCTCTGGCTTGTGACCCTGACCATCCCTCTGCCTGACCCTCTGTACTACGCTGCTTGCTACCTGCTGAACCTGGCCTGTGACCCCGACCATTCTCTGCTTGCTCCCCTGTACCTACCTGCCCAATTGATATTGACCGGCCTGCCTGACGACGCTTGCTTGTATGTACTGTTATCTGTGGGTGGTTTGGTTTGGTTTGTTTGCACTGTATTATGTTTTTTGTATTGCACTGCGTTTATGTTTGTATGGTTAGTGTTAATAAATTGTATTGTTTATCACATATCTGAAGTCTGCGTTTCCCTTGCATCAGTCACACACTCTGGTCATACCTGGAGCCCTGACACTGTGTTTTGCACCTGTAAAAATATGACTAAAAAAAACACCAGAAATGCAACCTCAGGTGTGTTTTGATGCATTTTCCATTAATTTCAATGGGAAAGTGCCTTCTTGGTGCATTTTCTTCCCACACCAATTATGCACCAATAATTGCAGGAAGCACAATTTTGAAAAACGCAACGGAACTGCACTGCAACTGACCAGTGTGAAGGGTTCCATGGGATTTAATGGTCATTCATTATTCTTCCACTTTTTTTAACAGAAAAGCAGAATTAAAAACGGATCAGTGTGAAAGCAGCCTAAGATTAAATATATTGTAGAGCATCGGGGCACAGGCAAGTGTTTTACCACAGAGGATACAGACAATTTTAATAAAACTAGGCCAAAATGTACTAGAGACATCGGACACAGGCAGGTGCTTTAATAAAGGATTAAGAACTATCAGATGATAAAGCAGTAAAAAATTGGCCAGCAGCAGGACAGTTTAATTTAGAGTATGATCATTATCAATGTATGCCAACCTTTTCTTTTTACTAAAGGCATGGGGGTTGTGCAGAATGTGAGTGATTGAATTTGAAGTGCTTTAGGTGTATACTGTTCTTGCACTCATTTTTTTTTCTTTCAAACAATACAGTGGCACATGCTGTAAACAAAAAGCAGCAACAAACAGCAACAAGTGAATGTTGCACATTGACCATCCAACCATAAAAAAAGGACCTATCAACATAAAATAAACTATTATTACCCCTAAAAGAAATTAAAATGACATAATACCATGCTGTGAAACAAAACTTTTGAACAAAGGTCTTGCAGTAAAAAACACAAAACAAAAACTGTTTGCTATAGGGGATAACAGCTAAAAGTGAACCACTGCCCTCAAATCAACCACAATCTAAAATCAAAGATAATAAGGCTCCCAATACTAAGAACAAAAAAGGGCAGCAAAAGGGCTAATTTCCCTAAGGCTACATTCACACCTGAGCATGAGAGTGTTTACAGCTGTTCTTTTTCTCTGTACCTATTTGCGTGTTGATTTAGGCATAATCAAGCTTGAGCATTTTTTTTGTTCAGGCTCCCCATTGAAGTTCTATCCTTCATTTGTTGAGCTACAGGAGTCTTAACACTCATATGTAAATAGGCACAATTTTAAAAAGCATGAGTTTTTGTTGTTGAGCATTTTGGAGCTCAAGCTACACAATGTCAAGTAAGGGTAAAAGCTTGCATTCAGAAGCGAAGCACAGTTTCCTACCTGACCCTACTCTCTTCCTATGCAGTTTGCTTGCTTTTCCTACCATTTCTCTTTGACTACTTTGTGCCCCCTCCCATAGTCCTAATTATAACGCCTGTGCTGATCATGGTCCATGTAGTGCATTATGGCTGGAAAAAAATTTGGTCCAGCAATTTTACACATTACAAAGTCACAGGATTATGAAGAGTTTTGAATATTCAGAATTCACTGCCTAATCCTTAGATGTTGGTGATTTCTTTTTTTGATCTGACAGTTTAACATTTGACTGTGCGTGCCATCAGTGGCATTGCATGAGTGTTGCCAAGGAAGGAAAATGTGCCATGACTAACTGCAATATGGTGAAAGCGCAACCACTGCTTTCACACTGCAGATTTTTTTTATCCCATAGCAGCATAGACCTCTGATTATGACAGCAAAGTTGGGGTTGTAATGTTACCTCTTTACAGTAGGCGCCTGATGAAAAACTCTGTTAGTAGACTTTTTTTTAATAATAATGTACTTATTTACACATAGCCACTAATTAGATTCAAACCTGAAATAAAACATTTCCAAAATGAAAAGGATGACACACTTCACCCTCCTAACTTACCCACCAAAATAAAGTTGAACTTTTATTAGTAACTAAAACTAGATTTCTGTAGCCCCTGTTATTTTTCCACTCTGTCCCTAAATGTTTCATCCTAGGACTGCTTTTCTCTAAACCTTTGTGCTCAATTTCTATATGGGTTAAAGCTACAGCAGATGTGGTCAACTTATTGATTAATGGGGCCTCAAATGCGAACACCCCTGTCATCACCAAAAGGTCACCAATAATGTATCAGTATACAGTATGTGATGCTATAGAAAATAGTCAGAGACTGTGGGCATGCCACAGTAGATGATCAAAGACTGCAGAAAGCTATATGCATTGTTGAATACTAGGATTATGGCGCATAAGACTGTGGTAGACTGCTAGAGATCGCTATTGTTACAGTCTTTTTTCAAGTTATTGCTCCTTACAGCCCCCTTAAAAAATAGGTGTCACATTTGGTTATTCCTCTCAGCAAGATTCATTATAAAAGTTCAAAGAAAAGAAAGTACAGTATTTACTGGCGTATAAGACTACTTTTTATACTTCAAAAATATACCCCAAAAATTGGGGGTCGTCTTATACAAGGGGTATAAAAATGTTGAACCTTGAGTTTGTTTGGGTCAAGCTGGCTGGATGTGTGGTAATACTGTACATACAGTATACCATGCTGAGCCAAGCTGGCTCAAAACAAATGTCCCTATGACAGATTAATCTGTCAGCCCGCTGGATGTGCGGTATATACAGTATACTGCGCTGAGCCA